AAGTCGCCTGCCACCGGAAGTCTGAAGTCCGCAAATCTTAAAGTTACCGAAACAGAGAAATACTCAGTTAAATTACTCATTGCATGCTCATAGTTTTCTGGCATTTTTAAACTTGAAAATCTGATGATTTATTTAAAGAAATGGAACATCAGTGCAGCAACCAACATTTACAGTTCATTATTAGCATTACTTTTCTGCCATTTTAAGGTTTTCTTTTTGTTTCTGCCCAATTAATATTTACAGTTCATTGTTGTGAAGATTCTTTGACTCGGTATGTATAAATGAGAGAGGAAGATCATTCTGGTTGCAGGAAGAAATGAATGTTGGATAAAACTGCCCAGAATAATTTAAAAAAACAACAACCTAAAGTTCAGTGTCAGACTCTCTTTAACACTACTTTCTTTCTAAAACTCCATGAATTGTTGTAGCTGAGGGGCACAGTCCATGGAAAAAAACTGAAAACGTATTCACTTAGTATATTTCAAGTTCTTCTTTCCCATTCCATATATCTCTGATCATCCAAGATCTCTTTCTTTCTTTTTTCTTTTTTAAATTTTTATTTATTCTTTTTTCACTATACACAAAAAAAATAAATGAAAAAATACATTTTTTCCTTTAACAGAACTGTGTTATACATCTCATATATATTATTTACAATTTATTTACATCAGTAATCATATCTTTTTCTTTCTCTGTTCTAGCCAGTTATAACATTTGTTCCATATTTCATAAAATTCTGTTGCCTCCTTTTCTTTTAATTCTAGCGTAAGTTTATTCATTTCCGCGCATTCTAGAATTTTGTATATAATCATATCATTTGTAGGTATGTTTTCACCCTTCCAACACTGGGCATATAGTATGCGGGCTGCTGTTAATATATGTATAATGATGTGTTGGAGTTGTTTTTCCATCTTTAAATTTATTATACCCAAAAGAAATAGTTCCGGTTTGAGTTCAATTTGCATCTTAGTTATCTCCTGTATCCAGTTCCTTATCCGTTCCCCATAGGTCTTTGCTTTAGGGCACAGCCACCACATGTGATAGAATGTTCCTTCCTTATTTTTACATTTCCAGCATTCCAGATTCATGTTTTTGTACATTTTGGCCAATCTCGCCGGTGTTAAATGCCATCTATAGAACATTTTATATTTATATATGCAGTTGACAGTGTCAGTTTGCAATTTATGTTCCATAATCTTTCCCATTCTTCCAGTTTTATATTTCGGCCCACATTTCGTGCCCACGCTATCATTGGCCCTTTCACTATTTCTTCCTCTAAATCTACCTCTAATAAGTATTTATAAGTTTTTGTTAAAAAATTTCCTTCCTTACCTGTTAAAATTTTATCCAGTTGATGTGGGGTCTGGCTTATTCTGTGCTCTTCCATATCCTTATTATGTTTAAATTGGATCTGTAAATATGGCCACCAGTCTATGGTTATTCCTTGTTCTTCTAATTCTTCTCTTAATTTGAGGTTTCCTTGGTTATCTAATAGTTCTTTGTATCTGATCATCTTTTTTTTATCCAGAGTGTTTGGGTGGATCATTGCCTCCATCGGTGAAATCCAATTTGGGATTTTTCTATAGTGTCTTTTTTAAACTTTTTCCCACGTCCGAATCAGTGTATCTCTTATCTGATGTTGATAAAAATATGTGTGTGTTTTTTTATGTTTCCCCCATAGAAAGGCATGCCAACCAGCCTGTAAATCATGCCCTTTGATCATTAACACCCTTTTATTACAAGATCTCTTTCTATCTGCAGTTGATCAGACTACAAGAAATACCTTACTCGCTGCCAAACAGCTTCCTCTGTGGCTCCTTGATGGTAGTTTGCATTGTACACCTGCAGGCAGAGTTACTTTCCTTTTTAATGTCACATGCTGATTCTTTAATTTAATATAATTGTGTGGAAGAAGGCATTATGTTTGGGTTGAATAATCCATAGGCTGCTTGTGTTCTACCAAATCCATTTATGTCACCCCAAGGCTCTTTAAGACCACAGCATTTAAAGATAGCAGTTTTCAATTGAATTATTGTTTTCTGGTTTTGATTATTTAAGCCTTAGAATAAATTAGATTTCTGGAATTACAACTGCTTTGTATATTTTTCATTCCCTCCACCCACCACGCAAGAGGAAAAAAGCAAAAATGTCTGTTCCTGTTTACTTAGTGATGTAACTCTCATGGCCCTAGCATTCCCTAGAGACACAAGAAATAATAGTTTGGGGTTTTATTTTTTGTTTTTAATGTAGCTCTGGACAAAAACTGCTCCCTGTACTATAGCAAGGCATGGAACTAATTCCCAAATAAACATTCAGAGGCTCTTTCTTTAAAGGCTACAGTTTTGTGTTTCCACATAATAATTCTACTTAAGAGTTCATTATGGAAACCAACATATATATTGGCATTGTTAATAGTTGATAGAAGAGCAGCAAGGAATCTAAGGGCTTTTGGCTAAATCGAGAAATTGGGGAGAGAGGGAAAGAATATCTAAGAAGAAGGCAATGGCAAACTACCTCTGTACAGTGGTACCTTGGTACTCAACTGCTTTGAAACTCATTGAATTTGGTACTTAACACATTTTTATGTGAAAATTTTGTCCTGGTACTTATTGTTTATTTGGTACTTAGCATACAAGCTAGAACTTGTCACTGTTGACTGCCTTGTGCTTACATCATTCCTTATGGGAAAAATTGGTTTGGTACTCATCATTTTTGGTACTCATTGTGTCTCCTGGAACCAATTAACGATGAGTACTGAGGTACCACTCTATTGTTAACAAGAAAATGATGAATGTGTCTATTAGGTCACAGTCTTGAGTTTGATTCAAAAGGACTTTATTTAAAAATATGTAATGTGGATGATCTTTTACTATAGGTTTCAAAATGGTTTTATTTATTTTATTTTATTTAGCTTTGTATACCATCAAGTACTAGAGTTTCTTAGCCGTTTACCAGATTTGGACACTCCAATGTTTATCACATGATTCATCTGTGATCATGGATGTGAATTTTAAAAGGCACCCCCCTACCTTTGTTTTTATTTCTTACACAGGAAATAAAAAAAGAAGTGAAGAAAGAAAGTTCTGCCAGCAAAGCACCAGAGCTGTCTATGCATGAAGTTCCTAATGGAAGTTCTTTACTATTGTCTGAGACAATTATTAGAACCTCCAAAAAAGGTAATACATTTTTAATTGTAGAACTTTAATAAAGACAAATTATACCTGATATTCTAAGTGTCTCCTAGGCCTCTCAGTACATTTCCTGTGCCTCATTGTTGTTATGACAGAGACAACAATATGTTCTTACATTAGAAATCCTATCATATATTGAGTAGGATGAGAATGCTTGGAATAAAACCATACTAATGACCAAAATACTGATCTAAATGTACTCAAACTGATTGCTAATTGCTATTGTTTGCTAACAGAGAATGCTAAAGACAGTTGCAATTCTTTTTCCTAAAGAATTCCAATTTGTCATGGAATAAAGCTAAAACAGATACAAATAAATGGCATCCACCATTGATTATTCCACAGTTCATAGATCAAACACTTTGCTTTTAATGTATCTTAGCATACATTTTATGAAGATTATAGATTATTATTTCCACTCTTTGCTACCTTTTCTATAATACTGTATTAAAGCTAAAACCTTTAAACTGCTTCGATTGTCAAATGGTGCACAACTTTCTACCTATTTCCTGTGTTACGGGCTTTTTTTAGTGCTTACTCTGCACGATTGTGGGATCTGGTTGTTTTTGTAATGCCCTTAGTGCTTACAGTAAAGAATCAATGCAGCAGACAATGGAGGGATTTTTTGTTTTATTAGCACCTTATCACAGAATCTGAAAGGGAGTGCCCCCCCACATAATTATAAAATGCAAACACACATATAAACACAAACACCCTTCTCCCCTTTACCCCCCTCCCAAGTCTATGTGTATATATAAAATATTGAGAGGGGGAGGGGAATGGATAAGGACTTATGTATTTAACAAGCAGATCAGAAGTTTTTCAACTTTCCATTAATTTATCTTCACGTACAGTATAAATGTGTGTGTTTGCATATGTATACATACGTAGTCAGTGATGGGATTCAAATATGAGAACAACTGGTTTTCTGTGTGGATGCTGGTTCTGGAAGTCCATTCTTGGCCTGGGCAACAAAAAATTAGCTACCGGTTCTGCTGAAGTGGTGCGAACTGGCTGAATCCCACCACTGTACGTAGTGTAAATAAAAATGTTTTATGCACATGTGGAGGATGGATTTCTTCTTGAAAAGTTAACAGTAACAGTCTGGAAGGGAAAGTGATAATGAAGTTGCTTCAGTTTCATATGGTAGAACGTAACCACAAACTATACAGGGCATGGAAAATAGGAGTTCAAAAGCTGTCCAAACAAGTTGTATTTTGAAGAGAGCTTTAATGAAGTGAAATAAGTATATTCAGTAAATTTCTGATGTAACTGTTTTCTGTAATGCTAGAATTGCTCTACATGAAATTTTGTAAATCCCCCTTTTACTACATTTATGATGCAGTTAGTTTCTTATTTCAGTGTTGTTTGTGACAAACAGTAATGTTTTTATAAGAATTCAGCAAATGTTTTTATAAATAATATACTGGCTCTAGCAGAGTTAAAAAAAGGAAGAAAGAAATAGGAACCATCTGAAGAATGCTGACTTTAAAGAATGTGATAGAAGATGAATTAGTGGTTTGAATTTCACAATATCCTTTATATTGAGATGTCCAACTTCCTTCAAGTTGAGGGCCACATTTTGTCTGTAATTGTCTTATAGTTACATTCAAAGCTGTGTTGAAAGAAAAATTTTCATCAGGGTCTAGTCCAGGCCGGGAATAAACAAAATGGAGACTGCTTTAGGAAAGAAAGTTCTTGTTTATTGAGTTGCCAGAAACGTCAGTGATAGCAGTATGTTTCTGGGGTAGCTGACTACATGGAGCTGGAGTGGTGGGTTTTTATACCTTCTTGGGCTTTTGTGTTTTTAGTTGTTCCTGTGGCATGAACTTTGACCTGAGGTTCAATGTGCTCTTTTAGTAGTCTGATGGTGATGAGTTAATCCTTTTATGTCCTAAAGGTCATGTCCTGCTTTCCTGGGGCTGTGGCTGATGGCTATGCCCTGTGTTGGATGGGTGAGGGGTTGCTGGTTCTAATCCTATCACTCTGCTATTGTTAGCTATCAGTTTTGCTCCAAGGGATTTTGAAAGATCCTGTCTTGAATGGGTTTCTGCAGGCAGTATTTGCTCATGAATGGGGCCTCGGACTTTCTGAATGGGATTATCAAAGCTGCATTTCTACAGACTTGGCCTCTGACTAGTTTCTGCTTGGGGCTATTAAGGAAAACTAGGCCTGCTTTTCTGCCTTTAAGATCCTTTGGGGAAATATAATATTCTGCTTTTTTAATATTCCCCAAATATTTATTTCTCTTGGGTGGGGTCTGACTTCCCACAGCTGTATATGAGATCAGGTAAAAAAAACATATTCCATTTTTTTACATTTAATCATTTTACCCACATCAATATTTCTATTTAAATGTTTAAACACAGTAGATGCAATTACCGTATTTTTCGCACCATAAGACGCACTTTTTCCCCAAAAAAAGATGGGGGAAAATGTCTGTGCGTCTTATGGAGTGAATGCCGCCTCCCACCGCACCGCGCCAGCTGATGGGCGCAGGAGGTAGGCACCGCCGCGGTCTCCCAGCCGCTTGCTTCTTCGTCTGGAGCAGTTGTAAGGGCTTGCATGTTCGCCGGCGGCGGGGAGCGCGTCAGCAGCCCTTGGGGACCATGCAAGCCCTTGCAATTGCGTGCTTCTTCGGCTGGAGCAATTGCAAGGGCTTGCATGTTCGGCGGCGGCAGGGAGCGCGTCAGCGGCCCTTGAGGACCATGCAAGCCCTTGCAATTGCGTGCTTCGGCTGGAGCAATTGCAAGGGCTTGCATGTTCGGCGGCGGCAGGGAGCGCGTCAGCGGCCCTTGGGGACCATGCAAGCCCTTGCAATTGCGTGCTTCTTCGGATGGAGCAATTGCAAGGGCTTGCATGTTCAGTGGCGGCGGGGAGCGCGTCAGCGGCCCTTGGGGACCATGCAAGTCCTTGCAATTGCGTGCTTCTTCGGATGGAGCAATTGCAAGGGCTTGCATGTTTGGCGGCGGCGGGGAGCACGTCAGCGGCCCTTGGGGACCATGCAAGCCCTTGCAATTGCGTGCTTCTTCGGCTGGAGCAATTGCAAGGGCTTGCATGTTCGGCTGCGGCGGGGAGCGCGTCAGCAGCGGGGAGCCCTTGACGCGCTGCGAGGGTCGCTTCCCTCTGCACCTAAAGCCCCCCTCCTACTTCTCTTGAGGGAGTAGAACTAAGCCTGCGGGGGCAAAGACTGACCGCGGGCCTTCCTCCTCTCCTGGACGCAAATCGCCCGAAGCCGTGGGAAAGCAAGTGTCCCTGAGTTCTGCCGGCTCGCTTCCCAGAGACCTCCTTTCCGCACCTCCCACCTTTGGAGGACGGCTCTCTCTACCCGATCCCAACCCTCCTCCCTCCCCAGGTTTGCATCCCAGTTAGGGGCCCGATCCCAACTTCCATCTAAGGAACTCTAGAGTCAGTCACATCTGATTACGGTAAGCTTGCATGGTCGCCGGCGGCGGGGAGCGCATCAGCAGCGGGGAGCCCTTGACGCGCTCAGAGGGTCGCTTACCTCTGCACCGAAAGCCCCCCTCCTACTTCTCTTGAGGGAGTAGAACTAAGCCTGCGGGGGCAAAACTGACCGCAGGCCTTCCTTTTCTCCTGGATGCAAATCGCCCGAAGCCGTGGGAAAGCACGTGCCTCTGAGTTCCGCCGGCTCGCTTCCCAGAGACCTCCTTTCCGCACCTCCCACCTTTGGAGGACGGCTCTCTCTACCCGATCCCAACCCTCCTCCCTCCCCAGGTTTGCGTCTCAGTTAGAGGCCTGATCCCAACTTCCATCTAAGGAACTCTAGAGTCAGTCACATTGCATTTCCACAATAAATCTGATTACGGTAAGCTAAAAGATCGTGGTCACCCAATTCATGGTAATTTACAGAGATAAGCCTAAAGATAAACTGTATATGGTAGTTGTAGGTCCAGAGGAATGATAAATTATAGCATCTTTCCCTAACCTGATGACCACCAGATGCAACTTGGCTCGGCCGCTGCCAGGTCGATAAATAAAAAGCGTGATCGTTAATGGGCAGGCCCGTCCGCGCGCTAACAAGGGGGCCGAAGCCCGCGGCTGATCCATCTAGCTTAGGAGCCGCGGGAAAACAAGGCTGCGGCGTGAGGGATGGCGCGTTGCTTTTTATGACTTTTCTATTGCTCTTGATTTTTATAGCAGGATAAACAAACTCTCCTTCCGAGAGTTGAAAGCGTGGGGGCGAGGGGTTGGGAAAAGAAAAAGGAGGCTAAAAGAGAAAGGGAAGTTGTCCGGCTAATACTTCTGGGGCTTGGCCTCTTGCGGGGCTGCGTGCTGCACGCACCCTCTGGATTTACTCAAGGTGCATCCGGGGAGGGAGGTGTTGAAATTGGGCAATGCTTTCTTGCTTCAACTGCCTGAGAGTTGTTGGACTAGGTCAGGGATAGGCAACCTTGGCTGGCTTAGGAATTCTGGGAGTTGAAGTCCATACCCTAAGTCATAAAAGAGCCAAGGTTGCCTACCCCTGGATTAGGTCATTGACTGAGGACTTCTGAAAGAATACCGTAGTTCAAATTTTTCTCATCTTTCTTAACAAAGCAACAGATCCTGGTAAATTACAAGTACCGGTAGTCCTCAACTTATGATCTCAACTGAGCCCACAATTTCTGTTGATAAGTGAAACATTTGTAAAGCCAGTTTTGTCCTATTTCACAACCTTTCTAGCCACTGATATTAAAGTGAATCACTGCAGTTAAATTACCGTAGTAACATGGTTGTTACCGTAAGTGAATCTGGCTTACCCATTGACTTTGCTTATCAGAAAGTCACAAAAGGGGATCACATGACCCCGAGACACTGCAAATGTCATAAATATGAGTCAGTTGCCAAGTGTTTGAATTTTGATCATGTGACCACGGGCATGCTGCAACAGTTGTGTGAAAAATGGTCTTAAGTCCCTTTTTTCAATGGCGTTCTAATTTCGAACAGTCATTAAATGAACTGTACCGTATTTTTTTTTCACTTTA